CAGCCTGGAGGGGAATACCTGCTGGTCACACACCCCCCATGGTGCCCAAGATGCGGGCAGAGCCCTGACATTCACTCTTAACTATCTTCTATGGCCATTTGTTTTCTTCTTTTTAGAGTGAAAGGGTAAGGTCTACGTGCCAGCATCGGGAGGAGTCCAAAATAGAAAGTATGAGGACGTGTAGGTTCAGTCACTGGTTCTGTAATTATCTGTCTAGGTGACCAGACCAAGCCACTAAATCTCTGCTCTTTTGTGCTTGTGTTTGAAAATGTAAAGGTTTGGCTGAAGGGCTCTGCCTAAAAATCTTAAGATAGTTTCTATGGTAAACTGAAAGTAATACTATAGTCCTGGTATTAACCCCCCACCTTCAGTAAGAATGATTGAGATATAACAGACCTGAGAGGGTGTGGGACCCCAACAAAAGAAGGGAGAAGGGAGCAAACTTTTGAACACTACTCTGTCACTGACACTGAACTAAGGCCTTATAAGTATTATCCTTGTAGTCGTCATCCTATGAAATAGTTAATTCTAATTTAGAGATACAGAGATGTGTAATTTAGTTAACTTACAAGTACTTCATTGTGAAAGAAAGAAAAACAGCTTCAACAACGAAGTAGAGTCCAGATGCAAACCCAGGTTTTTTTCCATGCTGCTGGAAATTAGCAGGGTTCCCAGGTCTTTGAAGCCTTTGCCATTTGATGGTTAAAAATGCCTGGCTCATAAAAAGAAACGAAATTGAGCTATTTGTAATGAGGTGGATAGACCTAGAGTCTGTAATACAAAGTGAAGTAAGTCAGAAAGAGAAAGACAAATACCGTATGCTAACACATATATATGGAATTTAAGGGGAAAAAAATGTCATGAAGAACCTAGGGGTAAGACAGGAATAAAGACACAGACCTACTAGAGAACGGACTTGAGGATATGGGGAGGGGGAAGGGTAAACTGTGGCAAAGCGAGAGAGAGGCATGGACATATATACACTACCAAACGTAAGGTAGATAGCTAGTGGGAAGCAGCCGCATAGCACAGGGAGACCAGCTCGGTGCTTTGTGACCGCCTGGAGGGGTGGGATAGGGAGGGTGGGAGGGAGGGAGACGCAAGAGGGAAGAAATATGGGAACATATGTATATGTATAACTGATTCACTTTGTTATAGAGCAGAAACCAACACACCACCGTAAAGCAATTATACTCTAATAAAGATGTAAAAAAAAAAAATCCTGGCTCTAGGTTTCATATCAGTTATCTCTTTTGCGTTCTTCTGATAAACCTAGAATTATACTATCTTTTAAAACAAATAGAATTGAGGAGAAAACGATACTGTTTGAAAAACTGTAGGAAAAAGGAGAGAAGAAACAAGATCCCGCAGCCTCGGGGTGAGAAAGGTTCCCCTCCCCCAAGCTTCCTGTCGCCGGCGGTCAGCTTTCTTGGCACTCTCTCTCCCATCCCCCACCCTTAAATTTTACCTGACAGCCCGTCAGGCTTGGGGAAACTGAGCCTTGATCCTTCCAAACACCAAACCCGATAAAAACCTAATTCCAAAGCTAATCAAATTAAAGTTCTGAAAAATCTCTTGCGGTTCATATAATCTCCTTAGACACCAAGTAAACCGGTAACTGAGTTTCTGCATTCGGAAGTGTCCAGTGCAAAAGGAAAGACAAAATTCAGGAGACTCTCCCCTTGTAGGAAATGGAAAAGGAATACAGATGCTTAGGTTTACAGGCCAGTCCACAGAGAGAAACTTAATGCAAAAGGTAGGTCAAATACGATGTGCGGCTGACTACCCCATTCAAGAAAAACAGCATTTTCGAGTGGCTTTTTTTCTGCTAAGCCAGCAGCCACAAGATTTGAGGCCCTCTCACATCCTCTACCTGCCTGGCAGTGGACACAATGATACCCTTTGCTTCAAACCAACAGAGGAATACAATTGCAAATTTGGAGAGAAGGAAAGAGTGAATCCAGAAGTGCTGCTGGTAGCAGCTGATGGTGAGGAAGCTTCCAGAAGGAGGGGGTGAGGTTAAGGGTCTCTGGAAGTGTTCCTATACTGGGCAGCTAAGATGTAAGTTTGGGGAATCCCCAGCCAGATATTGCATAAAGAAATGGAAAATTCCTGAACTTTGGCCAGTTTGACTAGATTAAGGAGGTGATTCATTAGGGGGTCACATCTGAAAGTAAAAAAAGTTATCACCTACCTGCACAGAGAAAGACACACAGGTTTGTTAAAGCAATCTTTTTGCAACATCAGTTTAGTTTAGCCTGAGCAAATTATAGAATAAACAAATGAATACCCTTGGATTCCAGGAAAAGGTGTTTTGATGGACAGGTGTGTGTGTAAAGAATGCCAATTGAGCAAAAGTGTTCAAAAGCGAGATTTCTTCCCTTCATCAGAAACTGCCTGCTGGGCTTCCCTGGTGGCGTAGTGGTTAAGAATCCACCTGCCAAAGCAGAGGACTCGGGTTCGAGCCCTGGTCGGGGAAGACCCCACATGCTGCAGAACAACAAAGCCCATGCACCACAACTACTGAGCCTGTGTTCTAGAGCCTGCGAGCCACAACTGTTGAGCCCACGTGCCACAACTATTGAAGCCTGCACACCTAGAGCCCATGCTCCCAACAACAGAAGCCACCCAATGAGAAGCCCGCGTACCACAACGAAGAGTAGCTCCCCGTAACTAGAGAGAGCCCCCGCTCAGCAACGAAGACCCAACACAGCCAAAAATAAATAAATAGATTTATATTAAAAAAAAAAAAAAAGGAATCTGCCTGCCAATGCAGGGGGCATAGGTTCATGCCCACATGCCGTCGAGCAACTGAGCCCGTGCGCTACAACTACTGAGCCTGTGCTCTAGAGCCCGTGTTCCACAACGAGAGAAGCCACCACAATGAGAAGCCCGCGCAGCACAACAAAGAGTAGCCCCCGCTCACCGCAACTAGAGAAAAGCTTGCGCTCAGCAATGAAGACCCAAAGCAACCAAAATAAATAAATAAATAAATAGGAAAAAAACCCTGCCTCCTCCCACTTGTGCTCTTATGTTTTCTATGCTCATGTGAGTACAGCAATGAGTCTATTTTTCCCTGGGTTGTGAACCCCGCACTGTTCCTTTAATGTCCCTCAAATTTTCATTTTAGCCGCCTAACAAGGGGTCTGGCATTTCACACAAAGGATGAAGAAACAAAGGCCAAAACAAATTACCAAATATAAAATTGTATCTAAAACAGGAAGAAAGGTAACGCACAGAAAGTTGAAATCCAGGCTAAAAAACTAAGTGGAAGAATTACGTGCAGAGCAAATAATGTGAAGTTTTAAAGGAGCTAGAATCTGGGTCCCGCCAACCTCTCCCACTTTACAGCACCATCCCGACCAGTTTGCTTTTAAGTGAGCCACCTGCCAACCTGCTGTAGCATATGATGCTGTTAAAGAGGAGTGAACATTCCCGCCCCGCCCTCGCAGGCTCATCACCACATCACATTTATTTTAAAGCGGTGGACAGCCTAGAGGCTGCAAGTGACAAGGCAGAAGGCCGAATTCCGGACTCAGATTAATCCTGGCACCACCAATCATCCGAGGCTGAACCGGGAATGAAGAAGGCAGAAAGGGGCATCCCTGGTGGCGCAGTGGTAGAGAGTCCGCCTGCTGATGCAGGGGACACGGGTTCGTGCCCCGGTCCGCGAAGATCCCACATGCCGCGGAGCGGCTGGGCCCGTGAGCCATGGCCGCTGAGCCTCCGCGTCCGAAGCCTGTGCTCCGCAACGGGAGAGGCCACAATAGTGAGCAGGCCCGCGTACCCAAAAAAAAAAAAGAAGGCATAAAGGAAACAGGGGGGTGGCCTGGAACCCAGGCTGGGAAAGATGAGGAACTGGGAGAAGCCCCAAAGGCCTAATGATAGCTGAATTTCTTTCTTTCTTTTTTTTTTTTTTTCCGCGGGCCTCTGTTGCGGAGCACAGGCTCCGGATGCGCAGGCTCAGCGGCCATGGCTCACGGGCTCAGCCGCTCCGCGGCCTGTGGGATCTTCCCGGACCGGGGAAGGAACCCGTGTCCCCTGCATCAGCAGGCAGACTCTCTACCACTGCGCCACCAGGGAAGCCCGATAGCTGAATTTCTATAGAGATCATTTTTCTTTCTCAAGTCCCAGTCCAGCCCGAGGAAAACGGGAGCGATTCTGGGCGGGGACAGGGGCGCGGTGGATCCAACCCTGCCCTTCACTCCCCACGCCCCTGACCGAACGCGTCCCTTTTAAAGCGTTGGGAACTTCTCCAATTTAAGAACCGTCTGTTTACCTGATTACTTTTCTTTTGAAAATTCAAATTTTCCCATCCCCAGATATTCCATCCATATAGGGCTAAAGATGACGCCAAAACTATACTTCATTATCTCTTTCCTTGTCCGTCCTACTTTAAAAATAAGATGGGAAAAACGCCGGGAGGGCCAAGGCAATTCTCAGGCAGCCTGGCCCCTCCGCGAACCGGTCCAAACGTGGCTGCTTCCATCAGCGTCAGGCTCCAATCAGCGTCTCTTTGGGCCACAGATACCCCACCCTCTTAGAGAAACTCCGGATCTTTCTGTAATTTGGGTCTCCCCGGAATCGTGTACCCCCTAATCCTACTTTAAACAACCAAACTTATTTGAGCCCCACGAGCCTCTCACCGCCCTACTTATTACAAGCCTAGGACTCATCCTTCCGGTCGACAGCCAACTACTTGGCAGGCGGCTCACCAGGGAAACGGAGACTGTGTGGGCGGAGTCAACAACGACTCTTCCCAGGGCCTCTACCCCCTCCCCTTAGGACTCCCGTTTCCTCCAGCGAATCCGAGAAGAGTCTGGAGAGTTCTGGGAGGGGTGGCACCCACGGGGCTGATTGGTCCCAGAAAACCAGGGGGCAGGACCTGAGGAGAAACCCCTGGAATATTCCCGACCCGGCAGCCACACTGAGCTCGGTGATTGGCTGAGGAGGGAAAAGGCGGAGCTTGTTGAAAAATTATAAACACAGAGCAGCTCTCAGAGAAACGGCGAGCCTTGAGAGAGCTACTAAGATTCGTGTGGTTGGTGAGAGCAGCTTCTGCAGACACACTCTTTGCGAACACCACCCCGAGCGGCACCGGCGCGTTCGGTTTCGGAATCCGAAAGAACCGAGCTCCTCGTCGCTGAACTCGTTGGCCGTTTTCAGGTCTGAAGTTCGTTGCGGAGCCGAGAGGACAGGACAGCGGCATGGCGAAAAGCACGGCCATTGGCATCGATCTGGGCACCACCTACTCCTGCGTGGGGGTGTTCCAGCACGGCAAAGTAGAGATCATCGCCAACGATCAGGGCAACCGCACCACCCCCAGCTACGTGGCCTTCACGGACACCGAGCGGCTCATCGGCGACGCGGCCAAGAACCAGGTGGCGCTGAACCCACAGAACACCGTGTTCGACGCGAAGCGGCTGATCGGCCGTAAGTTTGGCGACCCTGTGGTGCAGTCGGACATGAAGCACTGGCCTTTCCGGGTGATCAACGACGGTGACAAGCCCAAGGTGCAGGTGAGCTACAAGGGGGAGACCAAGGCGTTCTACCCCGAGGAGATCTCGTCGATGGTGCTGACCAAGATGAAGGAGATCGCCGAGGCGTACCTGGGCCACCCGGTAAGCAACGCGGTGATCACTGTGCCGGCCTACTTCAACGACTCGCAGCGCCAGGCCACCAAGGATGCCGGGGTGATCGCGGGGCTGAACGTGCTGAGGATCATCAACGAGCCCACGGCTGCCGCCATCGCCTACGGCCTGGACCGGACGGGCAAGGGGGAGCGCAACGTGCTCATCTTTGACCTGGGCGGGGGCACGTTCGACGTGTCCATCCTGACGATCGACGACGGCATCTTCGAGGTGAAGGCCACGGCCGGGGACACCCACCTGGGTGGGGAGGACTTCGACAACAGGCTGGTGAACCACTTCGTGGAGGAGTTCAAGAGGAAGCACAAGAAGGACATCAGCCAGAACAAGCGGGCCGTGAGGCGACTGCGCACCGCCTGCGAGAGGGCCAAGAGGACCCTGTCGTCCAGCACCCAGGCCAGCCTGGAGATCGATTCCCTGTTCGAGGGCATCGACTTCTACACGTCCATCACCAGGGCGCGGTTCGAAGAGCTGTGCTCGGACCTGTTCCGGAGCACCCTGGAGCCCGTGGAGAAGGCTCTGCGCGACGCCAAGCTGGACAAGGCTCAGGTCCACGACCTGGTCCTGGTGGGGGG